TGAGTGCTTTTATAAGTGTAGTCTTCTCTCGTCGCAATCTGAATCACGAGAAAAAGAAGGCTGCGCCAGCGTAAAGGCGGTAGTTACGGGACTAATTTGCGCCGCTGAGTACAATGAAAGGATACTTACGCACATTGTAGCAGTCTTCTCACAGTTTAGCTATATTGGAATCAAGTAAAACGGTCGCCGGAATCAGACCCAAGACGTAATCCAAAAGCAATCGATATAAAATGCATGTGCAGTGATGACAATCTTTTGATGGCATCCAGGTGATATCAAAATCATATCGAACTGAGAGACTGAAGAAATTCTGGTGAAATCCAAATGAAATCCATATGAGATCGATATGAAATCTATGTGAAATCCAAGTGAAATCCATATGAAATCCAAATGAAATCCTTGTGAAATCCTTTTGAAATCCAAATGAAATCCATATGAAATCCTTGTGAAATCCAAGTGAAATCCATATGAAATCCCAATGAAATCCGTGTGAAAACAATGTGAAATCCAAATGAAATCGTGTCCAAATGTGTGACCGAAAACGGTCGGTTACATTCATTTACGATCGTTTACGTCGTTGTAAACTGTCGTCTTCGTCAAAATACTGCCGTGTTACGGCACAGATTTTGGTGTAAACGATTGTCGTTTTTCGCCGTACACGACACGGTCTCACACGACCGTAATACGGTGCATACCAAACGGGTTATTTACGGCCCGTATACGGTCGTAGTTTTGGCGGATACGGCCGTTCACGTCATCGTAAACGGCTGTGTACGGTCGTTTACGGGCACAGTAATGTTCGACCTGGGTTTACTTTACCAGGAGGTGGAGCATTGTACTTAGGTCTGACCAAAAGTTCTGCAATCGTTATTGGCAATTTTATAAGCCAGTTAACATTCAAGAGGTTCTTGCATGAATAAATAGTGGAATGTGTTGTCTATAATAACATATATAGTAAATCTATTTTGGACTTAGTTATAGTACTTTTTCAGATAAACTTTCGTTTGAACCAAAAAACAAATTTTTTTAATGGATAATGAATTCAATCAATATTATATAAAAATTCGAACTATTTTGGGAATAGATCCAAAGACAATTCATGAAGAACTTGTAACAGCTTTGGGACCCAACGCTTCATCATATACAACAGTTACAAGATGGGCTAAACGTTTTCGTGAAGGAAGAGAAGAAATCAATGATGATCCTCGATTTGGTCGTCCAGTATCCGAACTTACAGATGAAAATATTGAACTGGTTCGACAAGTTATCAGTAATGATCCACATTCAACTTATGATGAAATTATTGCTGAGACTTCTCTCTCTCACGGTACAATGGAACGAATTATCCACGACTGTCTCAAAATAAAAAAAGTTACATCTCGTTGGGCACCCCATGAACTAACTGATGAACAAAAACAACAACGAGTTCAACTTTGTCGTGAAAATTTGACAAAATTTCAAACTGGTTCCTGGCGATTATGTGATATTATAACAGGTAATGAAATGTGGATTTATCATAGACAGATTCATCACAAGTCAAAGAACGCAAGCTGGGTCGGCGATGGTGAATCACCAATTACTGTAGTTCATCGAAGCAAATTTGAATCAAAAAATTTATTTTCTATTTTCTTTAAATCGAATGGTCCCGTTCTTACACATTGTGTTGATGAAGGTAAGACTATAGATCACAACTACTATATTGAAAATTGCCTCAAGCTCGTTGTCAAGGAAATATTGAAACAAAGAAGGTCAGCAGATACAAAAGGTATCAAATTGCTTCACGACAATGCTCGACCCCATATTCATTCTGGTGTTATTAATTATTTAACAGAAGAAGATATCAATATAATGCCATATCCACTATATTCACCTGACCTTGTACCGTGTGATTATTGGCTAAATGATTGCATCAAGCATAATTTAACTGATCAACTAAATGAAAAATCATTAGCTCGTGCGGTATCCAAGGTGGTGAAAAATATTCCACAAGAAGAATATAAAAAAACTTTTGACAAACTGTTAGAAAAGATAGAACTTTGTATAAATAATCATGGAGACTATTTTGAACATTTAATAAAATAAAACTCGAACTTTCTCTTTTTCTTTAACTTTTTCTTTTTAAATTGCAGAACTTTTGGTCAGACGTAAGTATAATGTTGAAAGTACATACTTAGTGAGCACACTTTTCTCATAAAGTACTTGCTATTATTTGTCTCTCTTTCTTTGACAGATTTGTGCATTTCTTGATCCAAATGTATATGAACTTATGGATGATCAAGAGAAAGTGTCAGTTAAAAAAATGTTAATGACCAAATTTATTATGAAAAAAAATGTTGCGGACAACAACGGCATAACCACAACAACTTCGGATTCGTTTGTAAATATAACCTTAAGCAAGACAAACATCTCTACGTTCGAGCGATTTAAATTATTTGGTGCAAAATGTGGTGTTGTTGATGAACCATCAGTAGTAGCTACACCAAAAAGTTTGACCCTAAAACAAGAACTTGCTAAGTACGATCACTTGAGAAAAAAGAACATTCATTCGCAACGTTTTGGAAAACATATGAAAAGAATCTTCCAATATTAAGTAAAATGGCGCGCCGTTATGGATGTGTACCAGCTAGCTCCGTGCCTAGCGAAAGTGTCTTTTCTATTGCCGGCCATGTGGCTCGTAAAACTCGATCTTCTCTCATAGCTAAAAAATCTTAAGTATTCTATGTTTCTTAAAGATAAGATCTAATCTGCTTTTGTCTTATTTTACGTTACTTTCATCAATATTAACAATTAGATTCTCAATTTTATCGATTTTTCACTACTGAATATATTCGTTTGAATGTTCTTTTGGCTTGATTTTTCATTTTATGTTATCATATTATCATTTTAATTTTATACGTTTTTTATTCTTTCTTGATTTTTATTGATTTCAAAATACAGCATTTATAGCTAGGCATTGCATCAGAAAAAACACTCTGAAGGAAAAATTCACAGTTCTTTTAAAGAAGGAAATAAAGATATGGCTTTTTCTGTTGGGAAAAATAGCGCTTGTATTTGATTACATTGTAGTTTCATTTAAAGAATACTTCATTAAGGTCAACAATGAATCCTATATATTCACAACAAGTATTATAATAATATATTTCATTCGTTTGTTTATTTAAATGAATAAGAAAATTCTAAAACAGTTTGGATATTTTTTTCCAAATTTGCACTATCTTACTGTGATCGTCAAGACAGATATCAACTAGATTAAATATATATGAGAAAAAGAGATTTTCAATAGAAAAAACTCAATATGTACAGATTTATCCAATAAGAAGTTAATAAGTCCCTCTATCGTGAATCATGTTAGTACAATCAGTGTCTATTACACTAATACAACTTACAATAGAGGTATTCGCTAGATTTTGATTGGATTAACTAAACTCTATTCACTTTTCTTTTCTTCAATATCTTTTTCATGTCTTTTAATAATTATAACGTCTGTCTTGGTAATCATAGTACGAATTTGTCAATGTTAAAAAAGATCTAACCTATATTATGTTTCTTACATTCGTTCAACTCAACGAAAAAGAATAAATAGATTCTCACATTTATGAAGGACATTGAACAGTTTTATTCAAGTTAATATCGATTCTTAAAGAAATCATAATATTACCTAAGAAAGACTATGAAATTAATAAACCAGTTCAGTATTTCAATGCTAAAATCGATAAATGAGAAAACCAAAATATTCAAGATGCTTTTAAGAATTATAACGACAGAAAGTGGAACAAACTAATCCCATTTTCTACCAAAAGTGGGCACGGTTCGATTTTCAGCTTTTCAAGCAGATTCCGTTTCGATTCTGTTCGGTTTCGGATAGATTTACATTACTGGAATCGAAATTCCAATACAGAAAGCAAAAAAACTGAATAAGAAAGAAGATTTCACAAGTACTAGCGTACGCGTTTATTTACTTCCTCATTTTAGTTCTTTCACAGAAGATAATATTAATAAAACAATGATATCTTTTATAAATAAAAGATAAATACATAATGATGAGCTGAATAAAAGTTTACATAATTTTGACTACTTCACTCTTATTAGCACAACTGAAATAAAAATGAATAAAGAATAACAGTACATAGATTCGTATGTATATGTTATGGCCGAAGTTAGAATTCAGCCCAATTCAGAATTCGTCCAGACGAAATTAGAGTTCTAATTTCGACTAGACAACGTTGGAATATTATTTTAATAAATCACAGAACTTAAAGAAATGCCAACAATTAGAACACGAGAGGGTAACGCACGACAGTGAGGGTAAGGAGGGAAGTCTTGGTAATGGTGAGAAGGGTCTGGATGAGAGTGAGTCTGAATGAGGGTGAATATATGAGCGAGATTCCGGCTTTGTGGGGTTTTTCACTTTCCTTTCACTCTCTTGTCTCACCCTCACCCAGACCACCCTTATAGTTAAAGAGACTTCCCCCTCACCCTCATCATCATTTGTGATCCCCTTGTGATCTAATTGTTGGTATTTCTTTAAGTTCTGTGATTTATTAAAATAATATTCCAATTTCGTCTGGACGAGTTCTGAATTGGGCTGAATTCTAACTTCGGCCATAACATATATATATATCTTAAACATTTCACTATGATCGAAGCGATCAAGTATTCTATTTTATCGAAGCAATTAAATGCTAGAGACACATCTCAAACGTTTTGCCAACTTTTTGTGCATCTATTTACAAATAAAAAGATTGTTGAAATCAATACCAGTCTGCATGATACTAAGAAAAATTTTGTATAACCAAAACAATGCAAACACCTTATTGCTTCGCATCTACTCAAATACACCACAAAGTAGTAGAGGTAGTCATATATCGATGATTTACATTGATAACGCTTACAATTTCTTAATTAATTACAAAATTATGACACAGCTTTCTGTCAACAGAAAAGAAGCTTACCTCACAATGGTTTACAGCACAACGAACCATTAGAAGCAACAGAGCTTAGACAGAAGTATTTGTGCTTTTACATTCTGCACGGTTTTGAGTAAAAGTAAAAGTAAAGTACTTTTAGTTTAAGAAAAATACTTGTATTTATATTTGTACTTCAGAAAACTTTTGTACTTATAACCAAGTAAAAGAATCTGTAGTTTGTACTTGCACTTGCACTTGCACTACGAAACAATGTATAATATATGTAATCGAAGGATCTACCGATTTTTTTCAATAGTGCGGAGCTATTTATAGCGCTAGCTTATAGTTTCGGCGTAGTGCATCTTAAATGGAAAACATTTAATTTATAAGCAATCAATAAATTTTAACCAAACTTTCAAACAGGTATAAAAAATGTCGAAAAAAAATTTGTTATCATTATCCCATATTAGAATTGTTCCAGACAAAATTTCAAAACCCTTTGGATTGTTTGAAGACGCTGCGAAGCAAGAATTTAAAAGAAGTATAGAATGCTAATCTGTACTTAGGTAAATTCCTTCGAGCGTTAGACTTTCTACGATATCAAATTGAATGAGTATCATCATTGATACATATCCATCGTAATTCCGAAGAAGGTGAGGCAAAAAAAATAATCGATATTTTCCAGTATTTTTGCAGAAAATTTCTCACGTCTAAGAGGAAGAAATATTTTCATCCGTATAGTGCTATTTTCACTACTTTCTTGTGAAGAGGATATTATCATAAGCCTGTAAAATTTATCAGAAATAGCACATTTCAAAGACAAAACTTACGGTAACTATACATCAAGTGAAAATACACAATACAAGTTCGGCAGTTAAGTACGAGTCCAAGTACATATGTGAAAACGCAAGCTTAGGTAAATGTGCAAGTTTTCCAGTACGAATAAAATACTTTTACACGCTGTACTTGTACTCGCTCGAGCGCTGATCGCCAAAATCTGCACAACTTTAGATTAGTTTTAATTGAACTCTGTAAAACTTATTCCATAGAATTTCTTCACTTTTAGAAAGTTTGGTTACAGTCTGTTTAAGATTAAAAAAATTTCACCGGTGACCATCTCTCTCCTAAGCAGATTGAGCTAAAACAATACTTCCGCTAACAGCATGACCCAGGATGATATGCACTGACGTATTAAATGAACACTTCCTTCATCCACAAATATCAAAAACACTGATTAAAAGTTTTCGCCAATCCATTACATAAGTGTGAAGCCACTTCACGTTCATAAGACTGCAACCCATTGCTCAGCTCATTTTCAACCGATCTTTGACAAAAGAGCAGCTCAAAGTTTGCAAAATTTTACAAAAATGTTCCCTCAATACACCAATAATTGTTTAGCAAAGACGGCACAACACCTAACGAAATTACGCATAAAAAAGGTTCAACTCTTCTTCTTCAAAAACACAAAACCATGATAGGACTCCTATATTGTTCACTACTGTGGTATTTCTCAGCACAACCAACGCTACTTATCACATCACGTACGATTGACTCACTTACCGGTTTCGCGTTCGCCATTAACAATTCTTTAAAGAAGTTATGACCCATACTGCAAGATAACACTTCAATAGTGAGTGCTACGCCGTAATGCATGTTCACATTATGTTTTCCGACACAAGCCAAATCTATATTATTAGGCTTGGCTACCAACGAATAGCTCCATAGAAGAGCCTTTGAACGTCAACGGGTACCCCCAAAGCATACTACTTTAGGACCAACAGGTACTTCTATATAATAGCGTATAGGGACCTCTAAACAGTAGGGCTTAAACAATTATGACTACTACTACACGATATGACTTGAGATCCAATAGGAACCTCTGCATAACAGGACTTGAGGACCAAACAGTTTCTGTATATGATTGGACTTGAAGACCTATGATACTCTATAGTATAGAAATTGAAGTCCTGAGAATAATTCTCTACAACAGGACTTCAGGTCCTAAATGTACCCTTCTAAAATAGGACTTCAAGACCAACGAGTACCCTTCTATAATAGAAGTTCAGGACCCATGAGTACCCCTACAAAGTGGGACTTCAAGTCCTGAGGGTATCCTTCTATAATCGCACTTCAGCACCAATAGGTACTCTTCAACAATACGACCTGAGGTCCTAA